CCCCACCCACACCCACACCCACCCACACCCACCCACACCCACACCCACACCCACCCTCTACGGACAAAAACAAATGCAACGCACTATCAGACCCTGCGCGTACTCCATAATCCACATTCACACCCACATCCATATCCTCGCTTACCATTCATGCTGCATGCTTTATTGTTGCTATGAGCGGTCCCTCGCGGAAGAGTATGTCGTTGACTGAAATTCAAAACAAAATAGAGGCACACTGAACAAGAATAAGAAATGTCACGTGTTGCTATGCTCCACAGGCAAGCATAATCATTTAACAAACAAGCGACACGTCTCACAAACAAGACACTCAACGAAGTTGGAAACTACCGTCATCGAACTTTCGTCGGCATAATTGATTTTGATTATTTCTCTCTGGTGAGTAATTCATTATTGTGATTCATGAACCATAAACAACTATACTAAGTTTGCTAAGTATACAGACCCTGCCACTTTAATATTAATCATAGAGGATATTAAAAAAAACTTGAAATCAACACTCATGAAGGTATGAGTGTTGATGTAGACAAATATAATAATAGGTAAAAAATCCAAATGAATTCTTAACGACTAACTAATTCCTATAGCTGAAATAAATTTTAAAAATATTTCCGCTAGGTTCATGTCAGAAATCTCAGCAATATCTTATAATACATTCAGACCTATGGATTCTCACACCCTTCACGTTGTTTTAATTTCAATAAGAAATAGTTAGATATATTGAAGAGCGTATCATGGAAGAATATTATTCTATATCTGATTTAGAGAATGTAAAGTGTATCATAAATATTTTATTCTAGATTCAGAAATTTGCAATGGCTTACGGTAGCATGAACAAAAAAACTTCTTCTTTGCGTTTTGCCGATGTGGGCAAATTATCAAAACGAATGCTGGCACCAATCGAAGGTTATGAACAATCACCACTTGTAACGCTCGAGGAAGCCGTAAAACCTCTTGTAAACATTGTACCTAAAGTCGAGCGTAATGTATTCATAGTAAAGCAAAACTGTCAAGAACCAGAAGATGATTTAACAACCGACGAATCGGCTTCGATCATGCTTTACACCTATGAATCGATGCCACATGAAGATTCCTTGTACGTGAAGCTTAATGCAACTTTACGTTCCGAACAAAGGAAAAATTTAATCCCCTGGTTTTTGTATCTTCGACTCGTATTGACGGCTCTCGCTCGTCTGCCAGCAAAATGTCGATCCGTGTTTCGAGGAGTCAAAGAAAATTTGCGGTCTGAATATCCAGAAGACAAAATTTTTATATGGTGGGGATTTTCATCGTGTACTTCATCAGTTGGAGTGCTGGAGAACGAACAATTTTTTGGGAAAACTGGAAATCGAACGCTCTTTCAAATAGAGTGTAATACAGCAAAGGACATTAAAAAACATTCATTTGTGACCAATGAAGATGAAATACTTTTATTACCCGCTCGGCAATTTCAAGTTATATCTTCTCTAAATTCTGGCAATGGACTTCATATTGTACAACTCAAAGAATTGAAACCACAGTATGATCTTCTTGGGCCAGTTCCATTGCCAAGTCCAACTGTCAAACCTAGAAAAGAGGGGCAAATGAAGTCTCAACCAATAGTAGCATCGGTTAAACCCAAACCTTCTGCTGGAGCCATGGAAGAAAAATTTACAGCAATGAAATTAAGCACAAGTGCAAAACTAACTGGTCAGTGATATTTATTAGTGTGTTCATATGTAAATCATGTGATAGGCAGATGTAAGTTATTCTTAGAGAGATAGTTTATAGTTAAAATTGCATTTAACCCTGTGCGAAGGTGTTTGCCAATAAAACACTTCTTCTTAACACATTTTAACAGTTTATTTTGAAGTATACTAATCATTACATAGAGAAATCATGTGACACTATATAATACGGTATTAGTGCACAAGTGATTAGTGATCAGAATGCCTATTCATTACTAGTAAACAATTAAATGAGCTAAGTACTAATTCCTACCGTGTAAAATATGCTGAGAAAGAAAGTGTACGTCATAAGGAATAAATTGAATTCAAAGTACAAGGAAGAGTAGTAAGCTTATTGAATATACAAGGTGTTACAGTTTCATCTTCAAGTTTCCAAAGATCAGTAGCAAAGATATTTCTTAATAATAATACGGAAAACGAAAAAAACAGGAAGTTAAGTTTTGGGTTATCCATTCCATAGCATAATTAAAATTTGTTCTATTCAATAAACATAGACTAATAAAATATTCCATATTGATTATTTTTAAAATTGGTACGGCTGCAGATTATGAATGAGATCAACTCGAATTTGATACCATTCTCTAAGTTTTACTAAATGGTAGATGCATAATATTGATGTTTCAATATTCAATCGATTATTGATAAGAGAAAATGATTAATCATATCACTATATATTCGTATATGTTAGCATGATATCAAAAATGCTTAACTTTCTTTCTTTCTTTTGCAAATACGGGCATGTGTGAGTCAGCAACACTATCAGTTAAAGGAATCAAGTTCACCTATGACGTAAAGTCCTTGGTCTCAATGGAAGCAGCAAAAATAGAGGGTTCACGAGGTCTTTAGCATTACTATTGTTAGTGTAGATGGATGTAATCAGCGAATTTGTCTTTCATTTGAAACATTGCTCAAGCTAATGGTCTCCAAATTTTATCAATATTTGGTCAAACTGTCGTTGACATTAGATCTTATCTACCACCTTCATTTACTCGTCTATTGGCATTGTTTCTTTCGAATACACCTGGCCTGTCCATAGAAATTAAATATTGCCACTTGAACAGAACGAAACACATTACATATTAAGAACCATTCGTTTTATGTTAAGATGAACCTTATTATTTTATCATTGCCAATTTTAGCGCCAAAACCAGCATCCGTCGAGGTATCACCACCGGAATACCGGAACAAGAAGCTCGAAAAAACAATTGTCGAGCATGAAAATAGGCAAGAGTTGTCGTTGCGGTACGAGAACTTGACAGATGCCGATATGGAAATCGTGGCCTACTACGCAATTCGAAGAAATAAGGTAATATAACTGACGGAAATACATTTACTCTCATCTAGGGGTGCACCGGTGACGGTACGTCGTTCCCCGGTTCACCGGTCACTTTTCAACGAATTCCTATTTCAATATTATATAACACATCCCTAACATTTGCTGATTATTCTTCTCATTTAGGAGAAACCTCTTGTACAAAATAAGTTCTCTTCGTAAATGTCCATCAGAGATTTGCTATACAAAACAAGAACAAGACACGAAGACTATGAAAATGCACAGCCATCAGTCACCACTATATTGAGGCACAAGCCGGTACTGTAAGCACATAATCGCGTGAATAATACTAGGAACTAGCTGTGACGATAATAAGGTCACGACCTATATGCATCTTCAATCGATCAATCGATGTTAGAACAATTGGTCACACTGTGCCGAGATGCTCTGACCTCATGACCGATAGCAGCTACTTGCTCGTTCTGGCCTTTCTTCAACCTTTCCTCTCTCCTTCCTATTTTCTTCTCTCGTATTATAAAATTGTGTTCTATGTGAAGCAGACAGAACTGGATGATGGAGTAGTGTTGTGAACATCATACACCGAGGATAGCGGTAACGCTACTCCTGCAGTTTCTCATTGTTGATCAACAATAAAGTATGTACTGCAGCAGTAACAAAACGTTCTATCCATATTTCTTTACACTAGCCATCACGGTAGATTACTGCTTCCCATTGCCATTATTAGTCTTAGCAATGACAGCGAACCTATGTTACCGAGTACACGAGGACACAATGCATAGAGTCTTTCTTACATCCACAAAGACAGTGAGCAAGTGGTAGCACAAAAACCTACGGTGATGCATAGAAAATAGGTACCATTGACAGCGAACAAGCGTAATCAGTCAGAATAATCAGTCAAACTGGCCATCACCGTAGGGTTTTGAAGTGAGAATCGGCCTTTCCATGTTTCCAACGATAATTAGGGGTTCCGAGATCAGAGACATACTACTCAAACAGAACAGCAAAGTAATCTGCAATTGGCACGAAATTATATCTAGGAATACAAGATACTAAAGTGATTGAATTCGATACCGGATCCAACATAAAAAAAAACATTTAATTAATTGACCACTAATTGGTGCCTTAAGCCAACATTAGAGGGTAGCCCGAGTCGAGCGTTGGATCCCGTCACAATCCGACAGTAGGATCCGCTGATAATCCATTGATATTCTGACACTAGGAGTCCGAGTGTCATTCTACAACCCGGAATCCTATAGGACTTCGTCGGTTTATTGGATATTCACATAAAATCCTATCGGATTCCTATGGAGTCTGATCGGATCCAATTGTCGGTATTATCCTCCTGAGTAAATACAGTTGGAGTGACAATTTCATACATTTTCCTAATGAAAAAGTTGTCGATCAAAAATATTCACAGAAATCCCTTAATGTTATCTCTGAAATGTTTGACTTCGGTATACTTTGTCGTCGTCAGCATTCCCATTCTGAGTAATGAAAATCATATATCGCTATCTGTTTGCGTTCTGAAACTACTCAACATCTACTGACATATCTTCTATCTTGCACAGGATATTAACTGCATTTGAAATTCAAGTCTCTTTTTTTTCTTGTTAAGATTCGAGAAAAACTGTAAAATTAAAAAGCATTGGACACTTGATATTTATTGAATAAGACTGTGCAGTTTTTCTTCATCACCAAGTCATTATTATATGCATTAAATTAAAAAAATCAGCTAGCAAAAGCTAAAATTTTGCTGTATCGACTTTGTTCTTATCTTTCTCGACTTAAAAATGATAAATAAAATAAATGCGGAAACCTCGGATTTAAATCCGAGAGTTATGTGTACTTCAAAAAGTGAATGAGACAGATGAGTCATCCTAGAATGTGTGGATATCAAAATTATTCAGGCAAACCTTTTCTATAAAATACTTGATTTCTATTGGCTACTCTCAACCAATAGGAATTGGGGATGAAAACAGCTCAGATTTGAACTCTTCGCCTTGATTTACCCTAAGAAAATCGTTTTTCCTATAACTTGATTTCTATTGGTCCCTGCTCAACCAATGGTATTTCAAGGCAAATGGATGACAGATTCGAGTTCACCGCCCCCAAAACCTCGAAATATCATGTTCGTGATCAGAAGTTAGAGCTCCATTCTCGGATCAACTAGAGCGTGGACGAAAACAGAACCTATTTCCGTCTGATTATCTTGGCAATAGGTGAGTTAGCATTCATGTTTCTTTATGTTTCATATACCATTTTGTAGCTCTTGAAATCCTCTATCGAATGGTATATAATAGTTGGAGTTTTATTTGATTATGATAGTAAAAGTTTTTTACGAAAGTGGGAATAGGTAGATTTTCCTATAGGAAGCCATAGGGAAAAATGACTATTTTTGCAATAACTCAGGAACGGCTCGGCCGATCCTTCTCATCTTCGAACTCGGCCGGGATATTGTAAAGACTGAACTGTAAAGAAAATTTCATCGTGATCGGACTCTCCTTTCGAAAGTTATCGTGTAAACGGCCGGCCGGCCGGACATACTGACCGATTCTAGAGTGTACTCACTTTTTGAGTACACAAAAAGAAGCTTTAGAGCTAAAAGAGATTGATAATTATCTTGACAACTATTGGTTCGTTGCTGTTTTCGAGAATAGATTTTCATCAAGAAAATAAAATAACAGTGAGTTTTCTCTAGTTTACTCATCAGTAGCAGTCCATGGCGGATCATGGGCTAGGCAGAGAGACCGCTGAAGACATATATGAGACAGAATGCCAGATCAAGTGAATGGAATAAAAGACAGTCTACAAAGTGAGAAATATGAAGCATGACAGAAAAATAGAAAAAGAAGAAGAAAATGACTTCGAAAGATACACGACATGCGTCGTAGATATTCATTCGTTAAATCGATCACATATATTAATAAATGTGGAAACTTCGGATTTCATCCGAGAGTTATATGTACTGCAAAAAGTGCATGGGACATATGAGTCATTCCAGAAAGTCTGAACACCAAAATTATCATGAGAAACTAGGCAATTTGGTTTCTGGATGGAATTTTTGTGCTTTTTGAGACCTTTTTCAGGCGATGTTTCGTTAGAAAGCTACGATTTAGTTCAAAACTAATACCAGATTCGGAATCAGCGTTAAAAACTGAGTCGATTTATATATGTTGTGAATTATTCTGAGAAAAATGTTTTTTTTTGAAAAAAAATCCCTGTACCCCTCCTCAGGGATGGTCTGGTCAAAAATGACAATTTTTTCGATAACTCAACCATTACTTGACGGATCCTTCTCATCTTCGAACTCGACCGAGATATTCATGAGATTGAACTATGTGGAAAATTTTATCACGATCTGACTCTCCTTTCGAAAGTTATCGTGTAAACGGCCGGCCGGCCGGACATACTGACCGATTATAGTAGTGCACTCACTTTTTGAGTACACTAAAAAACAACTTTTGAAATTTATTATTCATTCTACCTTATTTCTTTCCTTTCCTCTCTTTTTTTCGGAAAGGAATGTGAAAGTGCCACCCCCTATGTACTAGTTTTCAAAATGTAGAAGGCGGAGAGTAAACATTTTTGAGTAAAGCTTGTTAGGTTTCAGCGGTTTAGACAATAAAATACAGGTATTATAGAAAATATAAGTGGAATTCGAACTTCGAAAAAACTG